TGCAGTGGCTTACACCTGTAATCCCAGCACTTTGGAAGGCCAAGGTGGGCAGATCGCCTGAGGTCAGGAGTTCGAGACCATCCTGGCCAACATGGTGAAACCTCATCTCTACTAAAAATACAAAAATTAGCTGGCCCCGTTTCTGACGCTGGAGTCAGGTGGTAGGTGGGTGTCCATGAGTGGGCGGGGTTGGGGGCGTCATCCCCAGCAGATGAATGGAACAAGTGTATCCCCCAGGACCGCCAGAATCTAGGGTTTGCGTTTTTTGGCTGGGGTAGGGGGCAGGGAGTGAGATTTGGACGGTCAGGGGACATGGATCCCACCCCCCACCACGCCGAGACCCCCGTGCTTGACTGGTGGGAATGAGTGGATGCAGGTGCCATGTCCCTGTCTTGCCTCCCAGGTGTGGTACAGAGAGGACGTCAGCCACTCCAACCCCGAAGGGTCCTCCTGGTCCCTGCTGGACACCCCCGGGGAGGTGGTCCAGATCAGCTGTGGGCCCCACGACCTCCTGTGGGCCACGCTCTGGGAGGGGCAGGCCCTGGTCCGGGAAGGAATCAACAGGAGCAATCCCAAAGGTGGGCAGCCCGGCCCTCCCGCCTGCACACCCTGTACTGGGGAGAAGGGTGAGAGTCACTTGCTCCCCAGCTGTCCGGGCTGATGGGGACCACTGGGGGTTTCCTGGGGGCCCGGTAGGAAGTTCCTGGTCCGTTGTGGAGCCTCCTGGATCTGAAAACGGGGTCATGCACGTCTCGGTGGGAGTCAACGTGGTCTGGGCTGTCACCAAGGACCAGAAGGTAAGACGGGGATGCTGCACGGGGTCCCTTGAAGGCTGTTTTCTCTTATTGCAAGTGTGGCCTAAACAGCAGGGCACAGTGGTTCACGCCTGTAATCCCAGCACCTTGGGAGGCCAAAGCCAGAGGATCACTTGAGCCCAGGAATTTGAGACCAGCCTGAGCAACATAGCAAGACCCCATCTCTACAAAAAATAATACAAATGTAAAAATTAGCCAGATGCGGTGGGTGCATGCCTGTGGTCCCAGCGACAAGGGAGGCTGAGGTTGGGGGATCACTTGAGCCGAGGGGTTAGAGACTATGGTGAGCTGAGATCACACCACTGTACTCCAGCCTGGGTGACAGAGCCAGACCCTGTCTCAAATTAAAAAAAAAAA